CTATTTGCTAAGATATGACTGAACAGTATCAAAAGTATTCACTAGAATCAAGAAGGTGTGGGTGAGCAGCGCTACTGCTTGCTTGTAAGACTCTGCAGAAAAGCTAGACCCAGCCCCACATCTTTTTTTCTATTTCAATGACATTTTTATTTATTGTAAAATATGGATTGAATTCTATTTTGAGAAACGGTAGAATCTAAGATTTAAAAATGTAAGAGTTTTTATTTGTAAGTACTAGCCCCGTCCATGTTATTTTTACAAGTGTTAACCTCACCCACCCGCCCTTTATTTTCTTAGAGGGTATGTCATTTGCGAAAATCAGTCGTATCTTAGGAAGTACGAGCCCCGCCCATCCGCCCCTGTATTTTTTAAAAGTTATATCATTTGCCAAAATCAGTCTTATCTTTACAAGTACTAGCCCCACCCATCCCCCCTTTAGAAGGTAGGTCATTTGCGAAAATCAGTCGTATCTTAGGAAGTAGAAGCCCCGCCCACCCGCCCCTCTCCTTTTTAAAGGTATATCATCTGCCAAAATCAGTCTTATTTTTACAAGCGCTAGCCCCACCCACCCGCCCTTTATTTTCTTAGAGGGTATGTCATTTGCCAAAAACAGTCGTATCTCAGAAAGTACAAGCCCCGCCCACCCCCCATCTATTTTTTTGAGGGTATATCAGTTGCCAAAATCAGTCTTATCTTTATAAGCGCTAAAAAATTCTTTTTTGTAAATTAATTTTGAGTCTGAGAAAACTCTAATCTTGAAAATGAAAATTTTAGCACTATTATTGTGTAGACCATACTGAAAAATGTGTGTACAATGATAAGATTGTACTTCAAAAGTTTACATTTTTTTATATTAGTGTAAAAGGTTCCAACTTTACCGATTTTTTGGGTTTTCAGTGTTATATACTTTGTCTGTTTTATAAATACCGTATTTAATTTTTATAAATTATTTCTAGAATAATGTATTTTTTTTTTAAATCTAGAAATGAGAATAATAAATCTATATATATTTTCTTAAATATCATAACAGTTTAAAAAAAAATTTAAAATTAAAATCTAGAGAATAAGAAAAACTAGAATTTGACCATTTTAGCAAACTGTGAGTTCAGATCTGCCAAAATAAAGTCTTTGAACATGGACAAAACATTTAATTTCTGGTTTAAAATTCGCTTATACTTAATTGTTTTCCTCAGAACTACTTTTTTTAAATTTGACATATTTTTAATTCCTAGAAATTCAGGTTGCGATTTTTGAATTTCATCATTTCATATTTCATGTATGGTAATTTTGTAAAATGTAGAATTTTCATTTTTGTAAATTAATTTTGAGTCTGAGACACCTATAATCTTTAATTTTGGAATTTTGGACAAAATTTCTGATTTTAACTTTTCTTACACATTTTTTCCTGAAGTTGACGTATTTTTTTTTATTTGACGTATTTTTTATGCCGACAAGTTGAGAATGGGATTTTTGCTTTTCCCGATTTAGTACCTTTTTAACGTTATACTGAATATCAAAAATTTTTATAATTAAAATATACGTCAAATTTAAGAAAAGTTTTATTTAATGTTTTATCCCTATTCATATATTTACTTTTAAATTTTTTCTTAAACAAAGTTAAAAAATTTTATGAGTAAGCACTATAATGCTTAAGTCCTTCTTTTCTTCTTTTGTAATTGTCAGTTTAAAATTTTTTGTTTCTAGGTTTCTCAAAGTGTAAAAATTATAAATTCTTAAAAAAAACGATAATCGTAATTTTTTCTTATACTATTTGCTATAAGATTTTTTTCTTATTTCAGAAGAAAAAATGGGAGAACGGGTGGGTGGGTGGGGCTAAGTTTTACTTTTTTACAGAGTTTTTTATAAAAAGCAATAGCCCCGCCCACCCACCCCCTCTTCATTTCAGTGATTACTCTTAATATTGTTCAGTCATTTACTTTAATTTGTTGAACGCCATTTTCGAAGGCGTTTGTTTTAAATCTTAGATTCTGTCACTTGTCAAAATAGAATTCAATTCTCATTTTATACTAAATAAAATACATCAGTGAAAGGGAGAAAGGAGGAGGCTGGAACTAACTTGACCATTTTCTAATTTTATGAAAAAGCAGTAGCCCGCCCACCCACCCTCTCCTCATTCCAATGACTACTCTTAATATTGTCAGTCTTATCTTAGCAAAGTTTAAAAAGTTTCCAACTTTACTGACTTTTTGGGTTTGCAGTGTCATATACTTTGTGTATTTTATAAATACGTCATTTAATGTTCATAAATATTTCTAGAATAATGTACATATACATATTTTCATATTTTGTGAAACGTAGAATTTAGAAATGTTTAAAATGAGAATCTACAAAAATACGTACTTGAATATGGACAAAACATCCACTTTTTGGATTTAAATACGCTTACAATTTTTTCTTCAGAATCACTTTTTTAAATTTGACGTTCTTTTAATTCCGAGAAATTCAGATTTTGGTTTTTGTTTTTTTATGTAAAATTTTCACTTTTGCAAATAAATTTGGTTTTTGAGACAATTCTAAGTTCTAATTATGGAATTTGCGAAAATTTTAACACTAAAATTATTATTTTAAATGTTACAAATTTTAGTGATTTTTTGGATATTCGGTGGCATTTTGGGAAACTTAATTTCTCCAAATTTTAAATTTAATTAATAAATTCTCTAAATTATCTATCATTATATTTGATTTAATCTTGTACTGTGAGTGGTAACTTAAATTGGAAAATATATTCAGAACTTTCTGATTTGAAATTGCACTTTGTGTAAAATTGATTTGGTTTGTTTAATATTTTGGAACTTTCAATTTTGAACTTAAATGAAGCTTTCAACAATCTGTTAAAAAATGATTAAATATACTTTCGAAATATCCTTTCACAATTTATAAATTTCACTTTTTCATTGAATTAAAAATTTTATTACAGAATTAAAAAAAAAATTCGTCACAAAACTTTAATTAAAGCACACGATTCATGTAACTTATTTTCGTTGGTAACCCTGACAAACCAACAAAAATAAACCGTTTAAAAAAGTAATTAGGTTAAATTGTTTACTAGGGAAAGCTCTACAAAAAGCTTGGGATTTTGTTTTTGTGTGATTGAAAATATAGAACTTATCTAGCCGCAAAGTTTTTATTATCATTTATTATTAATCTTGTACCGAAAAGTTAACGATAAAAGTTGCAGACGGTGACATTATCTCTTTTTTCACTATGAGTGCCAAAGAAGTCGTACAATTTTTTTTAGAACTCATTCCAAAATGGAGAATATCTCTTGATTTTTTTAGTTTTTATTTTGGAAGCTTTGAGACTTTTTGTTGGACAGAAAAGCTTAATTTAACTGCGCAGTCTTGAACGAAAAATGTGTTGTTTTAGTAAAACGATACGAAAATCTGAACAATCAAGAAATGACGAGAACATCGTATGGTTTTAAATATTCATTTGTTTCATTTTTGATGGAAAAGAAAAATGTGGGAAATCTGAGCTTTATCAATAATGTATACTAGGTGTCTCAAATTTGGTACTGGTACGAAAGCTGAGTTTAATGACAAGTTGTGTGCTATAAAACAACAGTTATAATGAGAATGAAATTTGTCAAATCCTTCCCTAACTTCTGTTTTTAAATACAGAGTTATTAATTTCTTCCGAAACTCAAGGTACGGTTTATCGTTAATAGATGATGAAAAATCATGCTATGTCATAAAAATTCTATTATCTCAGTTTTTCCCGTTCCCATAATTACATATTTTCTCCACTAGAAACATTCCCATTAGGAGAAATTTGTATTTGTTTACTCGTTTTTTTCATTTATACTGAATCGATATTGGTAATGCTGCTAGACTATATTAAAGGTTGACCCCAATTTTAAATCCAACACCGATTGCTACAAGCAAGGAGAGTAGTTATGTAATGGGGCTTCTAGGCCGCTTTGACCTCAGTTGACCCCGTCTGGCTCACTGTGTTTTGCGCATGCTCGGGATCAGACAACTTTTTGGGGTCAAATGAGGTCAAAGTTGTCCAGAACCCCCATCACAATAAGTGCATTTCGTATTAGATAGTTCACTAGATATCGAAATTGATTTCACATTGTGTTAATAACTAGTTTAATTATTTAACTAAGATAACCACTCGACAAAATAAACTTCTTTCATATTCTAAAGTGGACGTCTGCCGGCTTGTTTTTCTTGTTCGAACAAATAAAATTTGTGGAGTGGGTGAGTGGACGCGCGAAAATGGATTAACTCGAATGTTAGCTTTTCAGCAAATTCGCCTTTATTTGGTTATGCAATATTCCTGAAAGCATACATTTAGTTTTAGTTTCGGAGACAGAGTTAATTAAGAAAGAGCACTGAATGCTACATTGTGTGGTTATTTTATATGTGTCACGTGGTGTATACAATTTCTATTGTAGGCAGTAATCTGATTCGTGCGTGTTAGTATAATGTTTAATAAAGCTTCTCTCCCTCTATTTTTGGCATGAATCGGGCCTTTCTCTGCTAAACAATTTGCTTAATAAACAAGTTAATAATTCGTCGACGTTTAGTTGAATTAAAACAACGGTTAGTCGTGCAATGTTGTCTACTCGTGTGTTGTTACATCATAGAATTTTTAGGTATATTGAAATAACAAGCATGCACTTTCTAATTATACATGCAGAATAGAAGAGAAGAAAGTAGAATGTAGAAAATTGCAAGAATATGAGTGTATTAAACAAACACTGTCACACAAACTGACACAAAAAGTGATAAAACCCTAATGCCGTTTTACAAATTTCCAACTTATATGCACTATCGTCGCTCGTATTCCCAAAGAAATATTTATTCCACACTTATGATGTTCTGTACATAAATTTCAGAAACATACAAAATTATACAATAAGAGAACGAAAACGAAACTAAACAAAACATGACATCTGAAACGATTTCTCTTCAAATTTGGTTACGGTCACGTTTACTTCTCAGCAGCTCTAGTAAGGTGGTGCTACTGACCTGTATCACGGGATTTTCCCCTGGCCGGTAGACGACGTTGTGAAGCGGCCGCTTTCTTCCTACGTAATTCACACATACGAATTCTAATAAGGACGCGTAAATGAAACACATGCACACACCATCCCACACATTCATGGCAGTCAGGTTTGATACCACCGGCAACGTTGAACGGAATGCGTTTGAGGTTGTGAAAAAGTTGAGCATTGTTGTCACACCTGAAACACACCACAAGTCAATTGGAGAACAAGAGAGGACCGAAAACGGCGCCGTGAGGCACGCCGAAACAGTATACAGCTGGCCCGAAATTCCCTGCGAGCGACAAATTCATAATTTTTTTTTTTTGTTGGTCAAATGGGAAACATTTCAAAGTTTTTTTGAGTTAGTTTCAAACTGACCAAGCAGAGCCGCATGTTCTACTTTTGCGTTAATTATGAAGTGTAAATATTTAATCCAAATACCACGATAACGTGGTTGTCAATTAATAAAGTTTATTCGGTTGATTTTATGTCAAAAAAGAAGGTGATTTGCCCTGAAGCAAATAAGAGTATTGATTTGGTCAAGGAAGTGTACAGTTGTACACTGTACAGTTTGTTTATTTGTTTTCGATGAGTTGTGGTAAAACACCTCATAATTTCCACAAATTTCTATTTCGGAGACTTTTACTTTTTTTTATTATTTTACGCACATTGCTACGAAGAAAAAATTGTACGTTGAATACTGGCATGGGAATTTAGAGCCATACTGTATATGAAAATATTGTCACTGTTTGCTTTTTAATAAGAAGTCGCTCATGTTTTACTAGGGTCGGGCCGGATATATAAAAAATGTGAAATGTGGAAAATATATAGGGTGGCTCACTGAATTTTCAATATCTCATTAACTATTATTAGAAAAATAAAACAGTATTTTCAAATCTTAAGGTCATAGTTTGAGCTTACACACAGAAAGAAAGAATTAAAAGCAGTAATAAAATACAGGGTGTTCTGTTTGAAAAAGGTGAAATTTCGAACACGCCAATAATTGATGAGATAACGACTAGTTCAGTGACTCACTCTGTATATGTTATTTTTTGTCATCTTAGACAAAAGTCGGCCCTGCAAGAAATTTCGCGATATCCTTCTTGTCTAATCCGACCCTCTATGTTACTCAAAGTCAATAAGTTTGGGACAATTTTGTACACTGTGTATTTCTAATTTTTTCCAAAAATATATTCCAAACATAAAATTTTTCAGTTGCTGTGATTTACAAAGATACAATTTGTTAGCATTTCCTATAAATGTATTGGTTTTTCAAAAACAGTAGTAGTGATATGGTGGGGCTTCTGACTCATTTTTTGGTGGGAAAATTTGAATTTCGGTTTAATAAAGGTTGCAATTATGTTGCCAAGTAAAGTGAATATTAATAGATAAAATTACGAGTTCAAGGGCTGCTTCTACGGGCATAGTTTCTTGGCCAGTATTTGCGTAAATATTAACAGTAATTTATTGTATTGAACCTATGATCTTTAAACAAAAACTCAAAAAGCGAAGTTCCAACACTAAATATTATTAAGTATTATTTGCACTATGAACTATGGTTAAAAAGAGACATTGAACAAAATTTTTTTTATTTAGGTTTGAATGTGATCAGTGCACTTAGGAAGAACTTAAATAAATATATGGAAAGCTCAAAGAAACGTTACCTAAAAGTCCTCAAACAATTCTGGGATATACATCTAGACGTGTTGACTCGAAAAATATAAATTGTTAATTATCTCGGACTAAGATTTTTGAAAAATTCTGTTTTAAAATTAAACTACTTTAAATACATACTTATATCAAAATATCGGAAAACGGTCAAACTATTCATTGAAAGAGTGAGTGATTTTTGAAAAATACCCCGGCTAAGAACTTGGAAAAATTAGGTTTAAAATTGAAAGTTTCTAAATTTCTCGAAATCTCGAAAAACTGTCAAAAATGTATTTAAAAATTGAAGCTTTTGAAAAGTTGCCCAAAAAAAAAATCTTAAAAAATTAAATGGGACATGTTTGGACGAGATAATTTGAAAAACATAAACTGTCAATGGTCAACGACTAAATTCGAAAAATTTGGTTTGAAAATGAAATTTTCTTAAATATCTTGAAATCTCGGAAAACGGTCAAAAAATTTATTGATAAGCAAGATTTTTGAATAGTTGTCAAAAAATCCTGCTGATTCCAAAAACAGTTCTGGACCAAGATTTTCGAAAAATAGGTTTGAAAATGAAATTTGATAAATCTCGAAAAACGGTTAAAAAATTAATAAACAATGAAAAATTGAGGATTTTGGAAAATTGTCTAAACATCTTCAAAGAATTTAGGGATATTGATGTCAACGAGTTGATTCGAAAAACCCAACGTGTTTGTAGTGGCGGATCGAGATTTTCGAAAAATTCGGTTTGAAAATAGAATTTTTTAAATATCTCGAAATCTCAAAAAACGAAAAATAATTCCATAAGTTATATAAAAATTTTGTAAAAATTCTTGAATATACTTTTAGACCAGCTGATTCAAAAAACATAAAATGTTGATAATCCCGGATCAAGATTTTCGAAACATTATGTTTGGAATTGAAATTTTTAACTAACACGAAATCTAGAAAAAATGCAATGAAAAATTGATGTTTTTGAAATTATGCTTTAAAATATTTAAAAAATTCTGGGAAATTTTTTCGATGACTCGATTGAAAAAATATCAATGGTCCCGGACCAAGAATTTCGAAAAATTCGGTTTGAAAATGTTGTTTTTTAAAAGTTGCTAAAAATCCTCAAAAATTCTGGGATATAGCTGATTTTGATGAGTTGATTCGAGAAACCTAAAATGTCAACGACTGCTGTGAAGAATTTCGAAAAATTCCATTTAAATATAGAACTGTCTTAAATATCTCGCAATTTCGGAAAGTGGTCAAAAAATTCACTGAAAAAACGAAATTTTTGAAAAGTTGCTTGAAAATCTTCAAAAAATTCTATGATACAGATCTTAAGGAGCTGTTTCGTAAAACAAAGTGTTAACAGTCCTCACTTAAAATTTTCGAAAAATAATCTTGGAAAAGATCAAAAAATTCTTTGAAATAGCGAGATAGTTATTTGAAAAGTTGCTCAAAATTTTCAAAAACTTCTAGGATATAAATCTCGACGAACTGATTTCAAAAAAATATAAAGTTAATCCGGATCAAGGTTTTAGAAAAATTAGGTTTGAATGTGAAATCCTTTAAATAAATCAAAATTTCGACAAACTGTCAAAAATTTCATTGAACAAGTGATATTTTGGAAAAGTTCAATATTCTGAAAAATATATTTCGACGAGATGATTTAAAAAATATGAAGTGTCAATGCTCCCCGAACAAGATTTTCCAAAAATTCGATTTGAACATGAAATTTCTTAAATATCCTGCAATTTCAAAACATTAAAAAATTCAGTGAAAAATTGATGTTTTTCAAAAATTGTCTAAAAATCCTTAAAAATTTCTTTGAAATACTTTTCGAAGAGCTGATTAGAAAAACATAGTGTTAATATTTACGGACCAAGATTTTCAAAAAATTCGATTTGAAAATGGCTTTTTTTAAATATAACCCTCAAACAATTCCAGGAAATAGATAGATAGATAGCTAGACGCTTTATTGTTATTACTTAAAAAAAAAAAAAATAAAATGCTACGAGATGATTTGAAAAGCATATTTAACGATCAAGATTTTCGAAAAGTTTGATTTGAAAGTGAAATATTTATATTTTTATGTCCCGAAATTTCGGAAAATTGTCAAAAAATTAATTAAAAAATCGACATTTTTGAAAAATTGCCAAAAAAGTCTTTAAAAATTCTGGAAAATACATTTTGACGAACTGATTAAAAAAACATAAAGTGTCAATTGTTCTGGACCAAAAATTTCGAAAAATTCAATTTGAAAATTAATTTTTTGAAATACCTGAACATCTTGAAAAACAATAAAACTATAATCCTTGAAAAATTGGTACTTTTGAAAGGTTGCTTAAAAAACCTCATTGCGGATCGAGATTTTCGAAAAATTCTATTCGAAAATAACATTTTTTAAACATTTACAAATTTCGGAAAACGGTCAAAAAATTCATTGAAAAATATATATTTTTCCAAAGTTGCCCAAAAAATCTACAAAAATTTCTGGAAAACACATTTCGACGAGCTGTCAACAATTCTGTATTCAGAATTTCAAAAAATTTGATTTGAAAGTAAAATTGTCTATATGCATCTCGAAGTCTTGGAACACTGTAAAAAACTCATTGAAAAAGCGGGATTTTTGAAAAGTTGGTCAAAAATTCTTTAAACATTCTGGAATATAGATTTCGATGAGCTAATTCGAAAAACATAAAGTCACCAACATTTTTGAAAAATTAATTTGACATATTTTTTTTTATGTATGTATCTCAATATCTCGTAAAAAATCTATTGAAAAATGAACATTTTTTAGAAAGTTACCACAAAATCTTTCAAAAATTCTGGAAAATACATTTCCATGACCTAATCCGAAAAAAACATAGTGTCCGTGGTCCCGGACTAAGAAACTGTCTTAAATATTTGAAAATCTCGGATAGTGGCCAAAAAAATTCACTGAAAAAACTAGACTTTTGAAAAGTTACCTAAACATCCTAAAAAGATTCTGACTCAATGAGTTGGTTCAAAAAACAAAGTCTTAATAGTCCTTAACTAAGATTTTCGAAAAATAATCTAGAAAAAGATCAAAAAATTTATTGAAAAACTGATATTTTCGAAAAGTTACCAAAAAATCCTCAAAAAATCTTGGGAAATACATTTCGACGACTAATCCGAAAAACATAATCGCAGATCAAAAATACATCGAAATTTCGAAAACGATCAAAAATTTCATCGAAAAAATTGATATTTTTGACAAGTTACCATAAAATCCTTCAAAAATTCTGAAAAATATATTCTGACGAGATGATTTAAAAAATATAAAATTTCAATGCTCACGTTTACAAAATTCATTGAAAAATTGATATTTTTTAAAAGTTGTCTAAAAAATCCTCAAAAATTTCTGGAAAATACGTTTAGACGAGCTGATCAGAAAAACAATATCTTGAAAAAAAATCATTAAAAAATGAAAAATTTTGAAAAGTGGCCAAAAAATCCTCCAAAAATTCTGGAAAATACATTTTGATAATTTCAAAAACATAAAGTGCCAATGGATTAGGATTAGAGATGTACCG